CTGCCTCAAAAAAATCATAATTACAGAATAAATTTCAACTCAATGAAAAATGCCCCCTTGACATTTGTAAAAAAAAAATTGAAAAAAATCTAACACGTCTGTTTATCAAAAATAATTTGAAAACAGTAAACTTTTAATAGAGATTCCAAAATTTGTTTTTTTTTTTTTTGATATTTAAAACAAAGCTTTTGGGTGTTTGACACTTGTCCATATAAATAAAAAAAATTATCAAAAACTAATGATATTTAAAAATTTGAATTTATCATTTCTTTTTTTGTAAAAATGTATTTTTTTACCGTTATCTTTCTGACAAAATTGACCCAGTTTTTAAAAGCGATATTTTACAATGTTTTCATGAGGGAAGAGAAACTTAGGGTGCTTACAAGACCTTTTTGAAGAACGTAATTCTTTGATTTATGGTTTTTCGTCTGTGATTTGATTTTTTCAACAAAAAAAAAAAAAAGGGAAAAAAAATCCGCATTGTCTAATTTATATTTTTGAAATTAATCATAAAATTATTAAATATTCCAAGGCTAGTTCCTAGTATTGAAAAAATATTCCATTGTGGTTTAAATATTCCATGGAATAATCCTAATATACTCTCTTTTTAGTTAGTTACTTTTGAATAATTCAACCGGATGATTCGTTAATTAATTGAATTATTAAGTTTAATAGTATCAGAAATTAGTAATTTTTACTAATTCTTAATCAGGAATGACTAATTGTATAAAAATACTAATTAGTAAATTTTACTAATTAAAATAGTAGCTTTACTAAACTTTATTAGTTTTCTACTATCAATTTGACTAAATTACTAATCCATTCAGTAAAACTGTTATTTCAATTAGTAAACTTTAATAAATGAATTAGTAGTTTTCTACTATCAGTTATTTTTTTTTACCAAGAACTAGTCAAAACACTAATTTATTTAACAAAATCGGTGCAGTGAAATTATTATTATAATTTAAATTAAAATTGACTAAAATTATTTATAGAAATTTTAAATTATTAAAAAAAAACTGTTTTTAAAAATGATTACAAAAAGTGTATAAAACACTAATTTGAAATTTTAATTTAAAATGAAACTCTGTATTATTAATAGAACGACGCGGACTAATAAAGTCATATAAATACGTTATAACGAGACGACTGAAATTAGGGAGTGTCGAGTCTAAAACGAAGTCGTTTTTGTCAAGAGACAGAGAAAGAAAGAAAGAGAATAGAGAGATATATACGAAGAATATATACACAGAAAGAAACGCGTTTTGTTGAAGCTACGTGACATAACTCGTAACGTGCGACATTGCGCGCAAAAAAGAAAACGCCACATGTAGAATGAAATGACAATGTATTGTATATATATCGACTTGCCGACAATTAATAACGAATCATCGCATCACAGAAACATCAAGCGACTCAAGCACTTTATCCAAATGATAATTTAGCTTCCGCTCCGACTGATTTATCTCAACCAAAACGAACGATGCAAAACTATTTTGCACACAAAATGTATTCATGCGATGAATCTTTCAAATCGTCAACTAAACGTTTTTTTTTTGTTACGTCACTAATGTAATGCGCCGCACAATATATATGCGTGTTAATTTATTGGATGTCAATTTTCTCACCGAGCACTTACAGATGATTAAATTAATGTTTTTTTTACTAAAAAAAATATTTCAATTATTTCATTAATATTCCACGTAATTTTTTTTTTAACGGAGAATATAAATAAGATATTTTATAACTTTTTTTAGTGAAAAAAATTATTTGATTCAAATATTTACTTAGGTGTTATCAAATAAATATATTGAACCAAATAATTTTTATTGGTTTCTTTTTGGTGAAAATACTGGTGACATTAGCTTTGATAATATTTTCTTTTATACCAAATAAACCAAAAATCGTTTTATATATATAGTTTTTTTTATGAATTAAAGCTCATAAGCTTGGAAAATGTGCTATGAAGAAAGTTGCACCAATTATTAATTAGTGCATGAAATTTGCAAAAGAAAATTTGTAACCGCGATGATGTTTTTGATTTAAACGTTGAATAAGGTCAATTTAACAAGCTTAGCTCTCATTAATTTCGTCATGATACTTAATCATGGCTGCCATAAAGTCTTCCTGGCGCGAAATTTTGCCAAATTCCGACGAATTTACCTGCAGTGGTATAGTTGGTAACTACGTCAAAATAGCCGCGATTCGTCTCGTTGGCAGCTTGTTAATTTTGCAATTTTGGAAAATTTATAAATATCCTCAACAAGATATGCTAATGGGAGGTCAACCGTTATATTCTAAGTCTCTCCTCAAAAACACTTCTTCTTCTATCCTGAAAAACTTTTAAAGTTACGCAATTTAGTGATGCACATTAAATCGTTTCCGCGTCTGTCTGGAATTTCGAAATCAAAAGCTCTCAAATTTTCTATTTATATAAGTGGACCACGAGAGTCAAAATAAAAATTTAGTTAGGAGTTTTTCACTAATATTTAATAGCGAGACCGAAGTGGAAAGAAATTTTCGAGATAAACTCTTGGAAATACTCTCTAAATTCGAATTAGTAAAAATTTTAACTAATTCAAATTAGTAAAAATTTTTACTAATTCAGATTTAGAGAGAAATCCCCAGATAGAGCTCTATAAAAATGTATAGGGTACTTTTTGATAGGACCTACAGCATCCGAGCTACGATGGACCAAACTGAATACAAAATTTTGAAATTAAAAATTTTTTAAATAAAATAAAATTTTGGGTACAACAGGAGAGTTAGCCCTAGATCTACAAAAAATGTGTATGCTACTTTTCGAAATGACCTACAGCATCCAAGCTACAATGGACCAAAGTGGAAAATTTTTTTTAAAAATTTCTAAATTAACCCCTTGGCAATACTTTTTCTAGATTATTGTTGAAACAAATAAGAAGATGAAGCACGAATAAAATAAATAAAAATTGAGTTTTCCTACGAATATCCTAAATGAATATTAATGTACTGAAGAAAACATTAACTTTTTTCGAAAAAAGTGAGATTATTTTCCTCTTTAGTGTGTTTACAACTGAAAGTGTAAAATTTATAGTTGCACACAACTACAACAACTTAAATGATAGTTCCAAACTGTAAATATCGCTTGAGCTATTGCTGCATTTCGAACATGCCACATGGAATACTGCCAACGATATGTCCATCGACCACCGAGTTTAAAGTGTCAAACAACGATTGAATTTACAAACGACCGATAGACAGGTAATTTCGGATGTTTGTTTTGGTTAACTGCAAGCGCCTTTTAGTCATTATAATAGCAATAAATAAACCATTGAAAATAACATTTCCACGACCTTGAATTTATAATATATACAAGGGAAGAATCAGAGGGACAAATCAAAATTTATACCAACTTCACATTTTCTTGTTCCTAAATAAAAAAATTTTTTTTTAGTGAAAGTATGGTTTACCACTGCAACACTTTAAAAGTACAAATTTTTTTATTTAAATATACGAAAATATGGAGATGGTATAATTTGTATTCCGATTGTTTGTGCTATTTTTCCTTAACAAATAAAAAAAAATACATTAATTTTTGATAAAGTTCCACAAGCTGTGTCAATTTAGATGAAATATTCTGTTGTGCATCACAAATGATTCACAACGATCAGCATCCCTTAGAGACATAACGGTCATGTTTTCAGATATCTTAACTTTGGAAATATAAATCAAGAACACGCGAGATAAAATCTTGTTTCAGTTAGTGGAGGACTTTTTAGAATAACAGTTAAAAATAATGACAGTAGTTTTTGTATAAAAAATAATAAAATATTGTAAATAACAAAATAGTATAAATATCAAAATATTATAAATATCAAAATATTATAAATATCAAAATATTATAAATAACAAAATAAATAAAAAAAAAATATGAATGTATTTACCAATTTGATGTGGGAAGAAATCTCGTATTGAAGAAGCCCTCTGTCTTCCAGCTTCGGTCCGTTTTATTCGCACGTAGTTGAAATTAACTTCCTAACGATTGATCGGTGCCAAAATTTTTCACTCTTATTAACCACTCACTTATGTTATTCACTGAAATATAATATCACTACTGAAACAGGTGCTCCCTTACTTAACGCGAGCCAGAAAAAAAAGAAAAAGACAGACTATACGCAGGTATTGTTTTCTCTCTCAGAACAATATAATAAAATATTCTGTGTCTGCGAACTATAACAACTGAGCAATAAAATTATACCTGCTTAGGTAAATACAATCTTTTCAAAAATTTTTCACTAAAAATTAAATTTTTTGAATTCAAAATTAAATTTTATTAAATTAATATATTAAAATTTTAATAATTATTAATATTTTAATATTTACGTAATATTAAAAAAATTCTTGTAATTATACATTTTCCAAAATAATTTTTCTTTAAGAAAAATATTAATTTTTTTTTTCAACTTTATCTCGGTGAGGGTTTCTTAAATATTTTTCTCTTTAAAAAATGATAAAATTATGATTTTCAAGAATCATTTAAAAAAAAGTGTCTTAACAATTCGTGAAAAGAATTTAGCATAAGTTGTGTGACGTCATAAACGTAACAGAGACTCCCTTTTAACTTTTTAAAGAAAAGGGTCAATTTCTCAAGTACAGTATCAGTCAAAGGAAATCTTTTTAACTCACAGCACGTTTCATTATTCTGATGCCAGATGAAATGGAGAAAAACCTTTTAGTGTATAAAACGAACTCGGAGAATGCATTAAGTTAACTTTTATTCCAAATAGTGGTGCACTTTTTTTTTTCTTAATATTTTTAAAATCTCCTTTGTACTCGAAAGAAGTCATTCTTAATAAATAAATGCAATATATTGTCAATCGAGGTCAATTTCATTGTCGCTCACTCGATGAAAAATTACTAATTTTCAATCGTAGAAAAAAAATTATGCTCTAGTTCAATATAATTAATATTAATAAATAATTGTGATATATCAAGTTATTGAAAAAGGAATAATTTTCCAATGAAAGTAAAACTTTTTTTTTTATTTGAAATACACCAGTTATCAGGGAAAATCCATACAGGATTAAAGAATCATTCATACATGAAATCCTCAGGCGAAGTTATAATCCCCAGAATCCTTCTAACGGTAACTGAATTTTTCGCAATATTTTCAAAGGTTTCATTATTCCCTGAAGACACTTTCTTGACTCTTTGTTTTTCTTCTTGTCTAATTTGTGTCGAGGAATTGCTAAATGAATAAGAACTGCTGCTGCTGATGTCATTCGTCAAAATTTCAGATTCTTTGGTGTCAACAATGAAAGCACATTTTTTCGCCAACTGGGTTATCTCCGTGGCAAAAGATTCTGACAATGAAAAATCACTTGCCGAGGACAATAATTTCCCTTGACTTTCAAGTATTTGTTTTTCTCCGCGTCTATTATTTTCCACGCTATTTTTTCCCGGAAACTTCTCATTCCAATTTCCAGTTGGGAAAATTATCGGCACAATTGTAATCCTTTCATGCGTCTTGGACAAATTCGAGTGTTGACACGAAATTGATTTTCGCGTGATATTGTTCATGGAATCATGAGAAATTTTTTCCATCGATGTCGGTAAACAAAAGTTTGAATTTTCTTTCTTTTTTCTAATTTCAGTTGTATTTAAAGTGTCCTTTTTTGAAAGTAATTGATTTTTCCACTGATACGATGTCACATCGATACTTTCAGTGTTGCAGGCTTTATCGCATTTGACATTTTGTTCAGTGACTTGAATGGATTCTTTGTATTCGGTGTAAATGCTTTTTCTGTCATCATTGGATGGAGAGGAATCTTTTTCAATGAAATACGATGGTATTTTTTCACGACACGAAGAAGATTCCTGAGTTTCTAATACATTTGCCGAGGAAACTTGAAATTCCATTTCCTCTTTTTTTACAAAATTCTTCAACGAAAACATCATTTCCGATTTAATGGTATTTTCAGACGAGGAATTTCCGGACTCGACTTCCTGTTTATAATTCATGGATTCCTTAATAGAGATGATTTCTTTCATGTTCTTATTGATTTTTCTAATAGTTTCAATGGATTTATTTTCACCAATTTGATTATGTGAACTTTTTAACGTTACGGAACTTGAACTTTTTTTTGGTATATATCGATGACGTTTTCGACGATTGCATTCTCTCTTTTTATGTTTCCAATATTTCTTCACATTCTTCGTTTCTTCTCTCGAATTTTTTGAATTGTGCAATTTTTTCTGCATTTGGCAAGAGCACATTGAAAAAGGTACTTTACTCTTGTAATGACGATGCAAATTTTCCGAATTTACAGGCAGAATGTTTCGATGGGAGTCCTGCCTGACAATTGGAAAATCATTCATGCTGAGATGCTGTAAATTGTCATGAACACCGCAATATCCTCCTAAACTGTACGAACTGCTTGACATAGAGGAATTTGGAAAATGGCTATTTTCGGAAAGAATTGTCTCCGAATGCTGATGACATTTTCCACAGATGTAACTCATCGGTTTATGACAAAAATAATTTCGAGGAAACATAAATTTTTCAAATCTATTTTGCAATTGCAGCATATCATGATGATAATTTGTATTAAATGATTTATTAGACCATAGACAATGAGAATGATAATTTGTAAAATTTGTATTATTCGGAAAATGACCTAATTTCAATGTTGCTGTCTCGATTCGCATTCTATGCAGATCAGTTTGAACTTTACTCAAAATTTGATCGATTTTATCAGGAAATGGTGAGAGCTCCTTGTTTATCTGGGTCACAATATGTGACAAATTCAAAAAACTTTTCGCCTCTTTGTGATTAGCCTTCTCATTATTTGCCTCGGTTAAATGAATTTCATTTCCAACTATTAAAAGTATTCATTTATTATTTATTTGATAGGATTTATAGAAAAATAAATAGATTTAGCTCTAAAAAAAAAAATTGTAATAATAAAAATAAAGTACGGACCTCTCATTTACCTATGTCAATATTTGAATCATCGTCCATGTGAGATTGTAAACAATTTTTCTCATTTCCTTTATAGATATCCTTTAGAGATTCTGCTTCAATAGAACACGAATAAGAGTCTGAATGAAACTTTCTTTCTCGGTAAACACTTTGAACATCTGTATTGGAATGTTTCGCTGTGAAGAGAACAGAATTAGATTCAGAGCTTCTTGATTGTAAAGTTTTACAAGAATCCGAGAGCAAATATCTTCTGTCGTCAGTGTCAGATGAGAATTTCGAGTTCAATAGTGATTCGTTCATTTTCTCAATTGACTGAACAGTAGTTTCTGTCACATTTTTCATTGTATTAACAAATTCCTTCATTTTTGGCACAATACTCCTTTTTTTGTCTCTATTTTCAATTTTCTTCAACTCTAAACTCTGCTCCAGTAATGTTGAAATTTTCGCTTCATGAGAAGCAAGAGTACAACTTGCCGAAGCGGATTTACGTGTTCTGCATCGTGACGGATGCAGTGTTTCCGGTTCAGGAAGTAAGCGACCTTCACTCGAAGTCTGATACTCACCGTCAGACTCTGAATCACCGCAACTTGATAATTTGCGGACAGAACTTGACTCAAAGTTTCCGAAATTGATCCCACGAGTTGAAATTGTTCTTCTAGAGTCAAATTCCTTTGAATTTTGAATATAATTTTCCGATAATACACGCGTCACTGTTACGGACTCTGATTTCCTACAAATCGTCGTCCAAGACATTTTATCAATTTTATTTTCGTTTATATTTTTCATTTTATTGTAAATTTTGAATTTTTCGACTTATTTTATTTTTATTCTATTTCATAGAAAATTCGTGAAAAAATTTCATAAATAAAAAATTTTTTTTTAAAGGTTAATTCACGTAGGACGATTTTTATGTTACTTGTTTTAGTCTCGTTGTAATTGATAAAGATTGTAACTTCCGGAATTTTGTGCCAAACAAAGCGTGTGGCATAATTTCAGCTTAATATATGTGTATATATATAAACGTGAGTTTGACACAAAGGATGAGTTAACGTACTGGAAATTAGCGTGGTTATACGGCGCTTCGATAAACAAGAGAGAAACGTATGTGCGCAAGGGTCGACAATTATGATCGCCAGCATTGCTTTTTATAATGCCAACAGGGAGAAGTGCGCGTTAAGTGGAGGTGAAAAATGATTAATTAATCTTGACTAACAATTGTGCTGAGGAGAGATACTTCTTGTCAAAATGATAATAGAAAAATTAATAAAAATAATTCGATTTAAAAAAAAATTAATATTTAAAAAAAAATTATTTGTTAATTAATATTTAAATTATTCGACTTTAATTAATATTTGAAGTTATATTTAAATTATTCAACTTTAATAATTGTTTATATAAATGACAATTTTGATAAAATTAACAACAACTGAATTCTTACTTTACACTGTAAATAAATGAAGTTATCTTTATACTGCCAATTCCGCGGTGAATTGTATTGCATTTTGTATTTCTCTCACGTTTTTTGGTGAAATACGTTTCCATAGTACAAACGTTATTGCATTAAAGCTAAAATCAAATAACTCGTTTGACATTATTAAAAGCATACTAAACGCTCGTTAAAAATAAAAAATTATTTACTATAAACACAAATGAAAATAGATCTAGAAAAATTGATAAAAAAATCCATTAAACAAAATTGAGATGAAAAAAAAACCCTTATTGAATGTTACGAGGAAAAAAGGGGAAAAAAGCTGTAAAAATATCTGAGTGTAAATAAAAATATGGTATAAAACGGATAATGAACATGGTAATTGGTTTTTCGAACTATCCTCTACAAAGTGTTAATGAGCAACTTCACGATGTCGAGATTACAAGTAGTCTACTACGTGAATATATATAATAAAGTGTTTATTACTAATTTACTCAACACTGTTTCTCGCAATATATATATTCGTCTTACAAACAGCCACTTGGAGAATGATTGCTCATTAAAAGTTCCCTCAGCATTATTCATTAATAATTTTGGTTTATGTACAAGCATTATACTGTGATTGTACTCGCACATAGAATTAATCTTATCAATCAGTTGGAAATTAAGAATAATAATTTTCAATAATTTTTTTTTTTAATATTAAAATAAAAATTCAAGAAAATTAAAATTAAATCCTCCACTTAACGAAGGAAGCAGTATTATAATGACTTAATATTTCATTCTTCAAGGTGGTTGACCTTCCCCTTCGCTAAATTGCCTTTCATCAGCTCATATTCTTCTCTTGGCAGTTTCTCTCCCCCCTTACGATTTATTACAACTGTTACCGTACGTTTCGCGGATTTCTCTCTCTTTACATATATATTAATCCATTGTGAGCCGAAGTGATACATTTGCGCCACACAATTGGCACTGCATTGGAGTCATTTATTTCGTGAAATTGCTTTTTGGTAATAATGTATTTCACATTTCGAATCGTCAAAGTGAAAGGTGCAAATGTGGTTTTCAAATGAAGTAAAAAAAGAAATATAAAAATGGTCACATTTTCAATGTGAGAAACAAAAAAAAAAAAAAAAAATGGGGAAAAAATTATACAATGCGAAATGTACCACATCGAAACATGATGAGCAAGACAAATCGAAATGCAATTTCACTCACGTTTATTTCCGTTTTCGAGGCAATGCAATCGCCTCTTCGTTTCATTATACATCAGTTTCCGTATTATTGATCTCAGTTTATTGCTCTGATCAAACGGGAATGACGATTTAAATAAATTATTTTCCATTTCAACTATTTTTATATATTTTTTCTTTCCAGTGTGTAATAATTATAATATTGTTTTTAAATATTGAACAATTTTTTATTTTTAAAGTTTTTACAGGCTCTGTATTAAGGGTAATTTTCTAAATTGAAAATTATTATTATATTCCAACTTTTTTATTATTATTATTTTCCACCAACTTTTTCATTAGACAGAAAGCAGAAACTGGTATATATTATAATTTTCAGTAAAAGAATAATTATACATGTCCTATAATATATGAAAAACATATACAAAATAAACCTTTGGAAAAGTAATTTTATACATGAAGACAGTTTTATCCATTACGAATGATTAAAAACTGTTTTTAAAATGTAAGTAGAGGAATTTTTTTCTTACGACTGTGTGTGTTTTATTTTTTTTCCGTTACGTGAATAAGAATATCATTTCATCGTATTATTTCGAACGACAGTATAGAAATGGACCTGAATCTCTTATGTGATTGCTCCATCTTATTAAAAAAAAAATGTAATATCTTTTGTTGAGTGCATAATGTAATCGCATTTCTCGGATATGAAAGTGCAATAAAATTGATTTCTATTTATATGCAATTCCATAAATATACAATAAATGTCACGTGCGTTATATATAATAATAAAATTTGATATTATAATAACGAAACTTTTTTTTTTTTTATACACATTTTGCCAGGTAAAACCTGTTTTATTCTGTTAATATCAAGAGACAAAGAATGAAAATGGCTAGGAAATTTTGTTATTCATGAGAAACCGAAAGACTACCTGTGAATGCAAATTTTCGCCAGAATGTCATAAAAGGAAGAACAACTTCGCGAATCCAGGACTCTAATCTGAGTGAAAGTAAAGTGCCACTTGGCCCTATCTAAAAACTAAATGAATGATGATTTATTTATGTAAATATTTATTTCCTTTCTGACGTAATTTTAATACGTATATTTCACCAACAAAACATTTTGCTCCTAATTTTATTTTTGTATCAAAATTTATTACGTTAAAAATTAAAAGAAAAACTGTAATTTGCAGGTATAAAACATACAAAATGAAAAAGATAATTTTTGACAAAGTTTTTTAAAAAAAGTTGAATCAACGAAAGACGTATAATAACGGCGTTAAAATGAGAATTTTACTCTTTCCAATTAAAAAAGTAAGTTTATAATTTTATTATGAAACTAAATTTAAAGCTCAAAAAAGGCTTACACAATGTTTAAATTATAAATTTAAATGAGACTAGAATTTTAATAATTATACAAAGAAAATATGATTTATTATTATTATTTGAATTTATCGCAAGATTAATGTGTACAAAAAGGAGTTCAAGTTGCAAAAGAGAAGAGATTTCAAGTAACACAAAGGATAACTTAACCTTTTGAGAAGAAAATTTCACAAAAAGTGTCCTCATAGAACTATTGATTTTCAATATTAAATTTAATTCAGGAATTATTCTATAAATTTATATTAATAGTAAAGTATTGGTAATAAATAATTATATTTTAATAATATTAATTGAATAATAATAATGAAATAATTTTGTAAAAATGCTAACAAAAATATTAATATTTAGTAATGAAAATAACAATAATAAGAGAGGATCATTTTTAGGTGAGTTTTTCTAATTATGTTGATTATATGCAAATATAGCACTCGTCATATCATGAATTAAAGTAGATGTAATTTAAAAGCGAGTAGAGAAAGTTCCTCATGGGGCTTGTTCTCGTAAACTTCATTTGTAGACTACTCCAAGCAAATATAGTTACCAAAATTTTAGAACAGAATATTTAAAAACTTGAGACTACTTCTTCAAAAATTTCCCTAAGTAATTTCCATAATTTCTAAAGATTATTATTAACTTTTGAATCTTTCGAGTAAAAAGTAACAATACTAAAATTTTTACATTATTACAATTAATCATTCTTTATTTTAATATTTTTATTTCAATAAAAAATTTTTTATATTAATTTATTATTTACTTATAAACAAAATATCGATTCAATCAAATTAAAAATTCCTACAAAATAAAAAATTAAAAAATAAAGCCAAGGGAAAGTTCTTTGGATCCTTATAAAGAAATTGTTTCTCACTTTTTGAATTAAAACATTTCTGTCATTCAATGTAACGGAAGGCGACTAATTCCCTGTGAAAAAAAAAATCCGTTTCTTTAAATCCAGATTTGAACTCCTTTCTCATGTCTGAATAAAAAAAAGTTATGTCAATTGCAAATCGGATGGACCGCGCGAGCAAAAAATAAAAAAAAAAAGTATCTATAGGGGCGTGTACTGGCCTTGCAGTGAAAGTATTTTGGCACAATGGCGCCGAAATGATATATATATAAACACCATCGGGCCAAAAAATGATGACACACGTGAGTTTACATTCCTTTAGGAACCATGAGGACCTTCTTTCTAGTGAGTAATTTCATTAAACGTTTGTCACTTTTTAATTGAAACATCACAAAGACTGACGTGATTCAATAATTAAAAAACCACAAATATACGCAAGTTTCAATTTCTAAAAATATTTTCCTTTCAGAATTTTTTTTCCATTTATCATTTATTTTTTTTTTTGTTTCACAATTAATTTTATTTCATTTTATAATTAATTTTTTTTCTGAGACTAGTGTAAATTTTCGTCCCCTTAAAAATGTTTCAATGATTCGAAAAATTTTCTCTAAAAGTGAATGATATTTTTGTTTAGATTTGCCTATTGCTAATCAGCGCCTGCGCATCGAGTTTGAAAAAAGTGGAAAAACGAGGATTTAACTCGGGACATTCTGGATACTCTAGAGGTCATGGCTTAGGCTCCTATGCCACTGGCTTTAACTCCGCACTGAATCTACACACAAATTACGCTCCTAATTATTCCTTCGGCAAATCGACAGGCAATTTTGCAAGTTCCAATTTAGGATTATCAAGCTACGGATTAGGAAAGAACGAGCGAATAACGGGAATTACTGTGAATCGAGAAATACGAATTCCAATAGCAGTTCCACAACTTTATCCAGTGCCTCAACCTTATCCTGTCAAGGTTGATCGTCCATATCCGATTGTTGTACCACATCCAGTTCCGGTTGAAGTCACTCGCACTGTTCCCATCAAAATCGAACAACCCTATCCAGTGCCAATTGTTGTTCGCCAACCAATACCAGTCGAAGTCATCCGCACTGTTCCAAATGCTCTCTCATTGGCTGCTGCCAATTCATATTCTGGTTCCGATTCGTACTCCGAACTTGATTCTGGATTTCGAGCTGGTTCACATTTAAACTTTGCCACTGCCTTTAATTCCGGATCAAGTTCCCGAATCACCTCCGATCCTGAAAGCGGTTCCACACTGTAAAAAATATTTCTTGTAACATTACCACTTTCTACGTAGGTCCAAAATCTTACCTACTGTGAAAGTGGCATAAGTACATAAAACAGTATAACAGCATCTAGAATGGGGAATTTTACTTTTAGAATTTGTAAATTTACATCTCGTAGTGTAAAAGTACACCACACGGTAATTTTAAATATTATACACTGAAAAAAAATCATAGTAAATTTGACTAAATTTTAACTATTTCTCCTAGTTCTAGGAGGCGCCTATTAACAAAAAGTAGTTGAGACAACTATGTAAAAACGGTTAAATCAACTGTAAAATTTAGAAAAAAAAACTATTCAAAGTAGTAAAATTATTATTATTAATACTAGTATTGAGATCCATTTTTTCACCCTCTCCCCTACTACTTTCGTTTATATATGCCTTATGTTATTTAATTTTTGTATACCTAACAGAGAAAAATCCCTAAACGCTGGGGATTGAACGCACGACCCTAACATTCGCAAGCCGACAACTTAACCATCTAACCACGCACGCACGCTAAGATGGCTTGCATGATATTTGAGGACATTCTTTCAACTATACAAATTATAAAAATAACTATTTTTAATACTTATTTTAATTACATAAAACAGTAAGTCTAATGGTTTTACTGCATCTAGGAAGAAATGGTTTCTTCAACTACATAAATCATAAAAATAACTATTTTCAACACTTATTTTAACTACATGAAAACAGTAAATCAAATTTTTTTCTGCAACTAATAAGAAATGTTTCTTTCACCTACACGCAAATCCTAAAAATAACAATTTCTAACAGTAGTTTTAACTATTAATATGTTGTAAAGCCATTTAAAATCACATGACAGTTATTTCAACTACAAATATCAGTAATTTTGACTAGGTGAAATTGACTACTAAAATTTAGTACCACCAAATGTCTGAGTTTAGTTTAAATGGTTCTGAATATGGTACTTTTAACTGCTTTTTTTAACTACATATTTTCAGTCATTTCTACCAATGCTATTTTTTGTGTGCAATCGTATTAAAAATATTTTAATTGCCATTTATTTTTATATTATAGAATTATTACTTTTCTTCATTGCAATGAAAAATATGTGATACAAATAATCAAATTTATATAAACATTTATTTGTAACAAATTATTATTATTTGAGTTACAATATATAATATTAATATATTAATATGTGTGTGACGAGATAAAAAGGAATAAAAAGGAATATATTGAGCAAAAAATTTTAGGTTACATTGCGTTTCATATCGGGTCACATAAATATATATATATATTATATTAATAATATTATTAAAAAACGAAAAGTAATTCACAACACCTAAGTATTATCATAACTATTACTTTTAAAGTGACAAATGAGTATATTTACTTTTATATGCAAAAGTGAGAAAATTGTATTTGTTTCATTTTCAAAGTTGAAAAACTACTGGGTTTTTTAAATTTACTATTTTGAGTGGGTTTATTTAATTTTTAAAAATGTAAATTTCCACAAAAAAATATAAGACTACAATTTTGTGTACTTGTGCATTATAGAGTATTTTTGTCACTTTCAAAGAGGGTCCATTTTCTTACCTACTTGGAAACTCACACAAAGACAATACAATCTTGTACTATTACAACGTTTTGTCCTTTTCCCGCTACGAAAGTTGTAAAATTACAAATTCGATTGTATTTCTAAATTTAAAAAGTGTATTAATACCTCACTAGGAGTAGTAAAATTACATAATTTCTAAAATGTAATTTTACTATTTCAAAATGTAAATTTTTTTTATTTTTTACAGTGCAGTTTTCACTCTGGATATGTGTCGGAAACAGTTTCTGGAACTAGTTCCGATTCTTTTTCCAAACCTCTTGGAACTTTTTCTGGATTCGAATCTGGATCTTATTCGTCATTGGATTCCGAATCATCTTTTAATTCAGCATCCGGTTCCTCTTTTGGATCTAATCTTCCTTTGTTGCATCGAAATTCACCCAGCTCTGGTTACTCATATCCGATTCCGACAAAGAAGTTTACATTTTAAGTGAATCCATTTGAAATCCCATCTTCGTAAAAATAGAGATCCAATTTTTATTTAAATGGAAATAATGCTCAATATAGGTTAATATTTGAAGCGCAAACATAAGTGATAAGTGAAAGTGTTGTGAATATCACTACCAGTGACAGTTACTAAAAAAAATCCGTTGTTTAAGATTTAAGATTTTATTCTGGTTAGACCAACCGGAATTTTAGTAATTCTATAACTAATTTTTGTTCTTTATAATAATTTTTGAATTTAAAAAAGGAAAAACAGATTTTTCTACCTTTTACAGAAAGGAAAATATAAAAAATACCTTTTTTAAAATTGGTGCAAATAAGAAATATAAAATTCTTATTTTATATATTTTCCTTCTTCTTATAAAGTAGAAAAAGACATTTTTTTCCCCCTTTTTCCTGTCATGAAATAAACTTGTTTTTCGGAAAAAAAATGGGAGCAAATAAGAGAACCTTGTATAAAAATTCCTTTTGTTCGCACTAGAATTTCCAATATTTCAGAATGAGAGTGGAATGAGCGAACAAAACGCCTACGAGAAAAAAGTTCCTATTTCAAAACTATCGAATTTTTGGTAGACGGGTATTACATCCGAAAACCCGAGAACTCCTTTGAAATTCTGAACTATCCCTGTACAACTGAAGCCAATATAAACGACAAAATTGAGTTTCAAAAGCTATGAAACTGTAATAACGGCAAGTTTACTTTTAATACATTTTTCTATTAAATCAAACACTAAACTTTGAAGAGTTGTAGAAAAAAAAATTAATTTAACGATAGATAATCGAAGAATAACAAATTTTTCATTCTATATAAAATGTATAAAATTATAAGAGTTTAAATTTCATTAAAAATTTATATTATTCGAATAAAATTTAAACTTATTTTAATCTATACAATAATAATCATTTTTCAATCAAATATTTCTAAATCAAATATTTTTTTACTAAACGCAAATAAAATTTATCATAATTTTTGAATATATTTTAAAATAAACACGTGAGTGCAATATCACATTATAATTTACGAATTGACGCATATTTTCGTTAGCAAATAAGAAAATTCAGAACTTGGCTTTAATTCATATTTGAAAATTTTGATTGAGAACCAAGTTCTATGAGTCAGTTGGCTTCAATTTTAAGTGACATCGCAAAAATAACAGTCATATTTTTAACTCGGAATATTTTTGTTTCGAGTAACAAAGTGTCTTTTATTTATACATTGTTGACCATATAATAAAACTAATCAGAAAATCAGTTTTCAACTTTTTTTTTCTAATGTTAAGAAATTATTTCGTTTATTGAAAAAAAAAATTTCTGAAATTTTACATAAAAAAAAACTGTACATATCCCCCGGTCATTAAAATTTTCAATAGTTTTCTCGTCTTTCAATTATAAGGAACTTTGACACTTGTTTCGTCTACTAAAAGGCTTTTAACGTTTCAAGATTCCCGTTTGAAGAAATTTCTAAAGACCTTTGTCACAGAGTTTCTTCAAAGTTCTTCTAAGTATGTGTATAGCAAACAAACGTCAATTTCGAAGATATTTCACAAGTTTCCATCATATATACGTTTTGTGAATAAAAATATGAACGAAAAACTCACAAAATTCTATTCTATCGTTATTAAAAAAAAAGTGCCAAAATTTTTTCAGAAAAAAGATTTTTTTTTTTTTTTGCTTCACTTTGAAAAGAAAAGTTTTTAAATAGGTATTTCAAGAGACTTGAAAATGAGTTCCTTTTGCTGGTTCAAGAGTGTTTTTGACATGAAAAGAGAAGCTCTTTTGTTACACGCATATCTATTTTAAATCAACATCAGTTATCTCACAGTGGGAATAAGTTATATCCCAAAATAATAAATTTTCCACCATTCTGAGTTCAAACGGGTTGGCTATTTTAAGAAGTCGTTATTCTCCTTTTAGTTATCATTTTCCAACTTTTCCAAGTTCTTTGAAATCACAATTTTACATTTTATAATATATTTAAAAAAAAATAAATAATAAAAATATTCTAAAAGCTCTCTAAAAAAATTAGTAAAAATTTGATTTTCGCAAATTCGTTTTCTGCATTGGTACATAAAATAAGATATGTGAATATTTAAGTGATAAGTTATATGAAAATTATTCATTTCATATATCTAAAATTATTATTTGTTTCCTACGCTTATTGGAATTTGTCTAGACCCAGACGTAAATTTTCTTATTCCGGAAATTACATATTATACATATAATATGTTAATTACGTGGCGAGATGTCATATGCATTTGCAGTAAGAATTTGTGGTTTTTGAAATTATATATATATGCAACGGAAGACAGTAAAATAGAAAGATATATATTTTGACGAAATTGGCTGGTACTAAGCTCCCGCGTGGGACAAGAGTTTACGTCAGCAAAGCTTCTTCACATAAAGTCCAAATCCGACTCAAATCAGGTCATGGCTTTGACTCTGATCTCCAGGTATAATTTTGACCAAAATCATTGATTAATTACTTTAATTTCAATAAATTCGATAAATTCAATAAAATCGAAAATAGTACTTTTCAACTTAATTTCTTTAAAACATTTTAATTTACTAAAATATATATTTAACATGTTATTTATTTTGTTTAATTCTTTTTTCAAATTTCAAAAAAAAAAATAATTCAATTGTCATCAACAATGTAGATATCTCTTTTTTTATCTGTTGTTGGTTACAAATTTTTATTATCACTGAATCAGGATTTTTAGCAAAAAATCTTTTATATTTTAAAGATAAAAACCTTTTTAAAGATTATTTTAAAACTTTTTTAAAAGTTGAAGAGATTTTAAAATAATTGCTTAGCAATAATTTACATCGTTAAGTTATCCTTAGAATATTAATAAATTTTTCACTAATCTGTAGTCGGTAAATATGTTTTTCGGGGAAAGGAAGAAAAAAGAGGATAAAATAGTGTCCTTTAGATGGCAGAATCATTTTGTTCTTATTGATTTGGAGAGGGTAAAGCATTGTCAAGTTCTGGGTAAAATACCGACTTGAGCGTCGGTAAAATTGTATTCTACTCTCGCGAGTATCACGTTATTTATCAACAAATGTTTAATCTCAACTGTTTTTTCATTCGACAAAAATAAAATGGAAAAATCAATAAATTTTCAATTCTACTCACTCATTTTTTCTCCTTCTAGATTTATGAAAAATACTTCAGACTTACCTGGAAAAAAAGAAAATTTTATTAGTTAATCGCGAAATAAGAATTTTTATTTATTTATAAAACTTACAATAAAATCGAAACTGATTATATAAAAAAAATTACAAAAAAAAAATAATAAAGAAGATACTTTAAAATTAATTGAAAATAATCAAAGTAAAAATAAGCAATAAGTAAAAGAAACAGTAATCGATACAACTGATAATAATAATTTAAAAAGTCAAAAATAATCAATACAGGTAAGGTAATGTCAATCACCTAGTAAAATTAATTTAATACATAAAATTCGAATAAATAAAAATGTACGTGTAAAAAATTTATATTGCTTTAAAAATAAATGTTTAAAAAATTTTGAATTTGACACAGTCTATAAAATGGAAATGTAATTAAAATTTGATGAATCAATAAAAATTGAAAGAATCAATTGTTAAAAGTAAAAAAAAAAACAAATAAAAAAAAAATTGATGCGATGCGTTGTTTTCAGCCTTTACACCCTCGGCTGACTTAAGCCGGCTTTACCTACTGGGATTACATACCCACGCTTTCAAAACAAATTTAAAAAAGAATTCATTTGTTTTCATTATTAACATTTATTTTTGACAATTATTATTTCCATTCACCATTTTCCGGATAAATACACCCATTTGTTTGTATTCATTTTTTAAGTGAGTTTTTAGTAAAAAAAAATGCCATTTTTCAATTATCAAAATTGTAGATAAAAATATTTATTTACCAAAAATTGGTAACAAAAACGAAATAACTATTTGCAGGCAATTAATAAATGAGATCTTTGCTTTTTGAATAATATTGCTTTTAGTTTCGTGGCGAATATAAATATCAATAACCAATAATCAATGGCGTTATATATATATAGGAGAGAAATTAAATTATTTATAATGTTTCATGACGATTTCAACTGGTCCAAATAAAATTGTCAAATTTTTATTGTTGTTTTATGTTTATTTGTTTCATTTTCAAATTTTTTATACATAAAAAAATAAATTTGTTAACAGCTTAATAGTGTAAAAAATATTTTAGTATTTTTTTATTATTAAATTATTAACAAATTTATTTTTTTAATTTCGTAAACTTTCTTTCATATATTTTTTTCTGTACAATTTTGATAAAAAAAATTTTCTAGTTCTTTCATTTTTGCATTTCATATCCGATTTCGTCTATTGTAAAAAACCTCTTTATTCTTTCTGTCTTAATATTTCGCTTTACATTTTGAATCCAATTTTTTTTCTCTCTAAATTTTCCTTTTCTTTCAATTTTTTTTCTTACTGTTTTTGACATTCTTCCATCTGGTATGTCATATTTTGATTGAATTTCCATCTTTTATAGTTTTTCATGAAAGAAAATTTTCAATTCCACAATGTACTTATAAAATCAAGGCTTAAAGGGATTTTCTTACTCTGTACACGTCTCTTTTTACTGTGAATTCAAGCGAGAATTTTTATATTGAAAGTTCTCTTCATATGTAAAGAGAAAACGAAAAGAGATTCTAATGCAACGAAAAGAATACAGGGAATTATATGTTGCTTTCCATTTCTCCAATGACTTTTCTCGAGTATATCGAATTCTCTACATAATCTTCTTCAAATAACTATTTGATCCCTAAAATCGACAACCTGACAATGAAATTAATCAAATCATTATTGCTTTCGAACTTGAAAAATTTCACAAAAGAAATTTATGTTTTGCTGTTGGAAATTTTTTTTATTTCTTTTTTAAATTAAATAATTTTCTATTAAATATAAATATAGTCCGAAAATTTGAAAAATGTTAAACTCTCGGAGGGTAATATTCAAACTCTATTGAAGTACAATGTTAAACTCCTTTTATGGATAATATAATAATTAAACTCCTTTAAGATCTCTCATCATTGTTTCACGAAATTTAGATTAAGAGATTAAACTTCTGGAATGAAACTTCATATTT